GGGCACTGCGTGGGTTTGAGTTCCAGTGTTCAAGTGCAAGTACATAGTCTCCCACTGCAAGCGGTGGGATACTGGGTACTTGAACTTGGACATCAGGAGCGTGGGGGTTGGGCGGGGGTTGGGTCGGGGTTGGGTGGGGCCTGGATGGGGGGGCGTATGGCAGAGCAGAGGCAGGCATCAATTTCATTCGTGAGGCTGGTGAAATAACACATTGATTAGCATATCATCCTTATTTCGCATACCAAATTTAAAACACATTCACAATGAGGGCAACCATAACATGCATGCGTGTGACATCAGACAAAGATACAATTTGCAACATTGCGACAACAATTTCCGCTGTGTCCGGGACGTTTTAGACAACAAAGTTGAACAAACCACTCACCGAACAACAGCGACTCACATGCAAAACCGAGTGTGGAAGAGGAGCATGTAGAACAACAAGACAATGGAAAAAAAAAACTCCACTCCAAATGCATATGTACGTGTCTGAAGCCAAAAATCGGACCCGTCAACGTCAACCAAACCGTGACACACGGTACCTCACAAAAAAAACTAAGGCGATCGTACCATCCATCCCTGTGGAAACTACCCTATCAAAACAGCGTCATATACAAAACTATGATACAACCTTGAGCAACAACATCAACATGACTATGAAACTACCCTGTCAAAACGACGCCTTGTAAAAAAAAATAAAAAAAAATAAAAAAGGCGTTAACGCCTGCCTCTCCCTGCGGAAGGTCCAGATCCTCTACCTCTGGAAGGACGCCCGCGACCTCTCCCGGTGGACTATCGACCACGCGCTCCTCCCGGGCCCCCTCCACCACCTCTGCCCTGTGCACCGTTGATGTATGCCGCCTGTGCGGCCGCGGCTGCCGCGGACACGACCGCTCTATGTCTGCGGACTGCAATGTTGATCGGCTCAGACTCTGTGTCGCGTCCTCGGCCGCCGCTGCAGCAATCGTCTATCGCTGCCTCTGAATCGCGTCGAATGCAGCTTGGCCGGCGGCGATCTCTGCTGCGAGTCGAGCCTCAACCTCCGTGACGACGCTGTATCGTCTAGTCGCACGAGGCATCAGCAACCCCTCCTCGCCGGATGTGTAGTGCTGACCCTGCTGCATGTCCGCAGCTGTCCCTCGGGCCGGAATCGGCGGTGGGATCAAAACTCTCCTCGTCGATGATCGAGACAAACCGAGCATGCGGCCTGCAATATGAAGACTCGGACGTCCGGAGTCACCCTCGCTGCTGCCCGCAACCTGAAACTGAGGTGACAAACGTCCTGCGAAGGCGCCCCTCCCGGCGTCGTAATCCGCCCTCATCCGGTTCGAGACCTGACGATGAGCTGCCCATCCGCCGGCAACACCACCTGCGACAGGTGGCGGGGAACCGGCAACGGGCGCACGGGCGGTAGTCGCGTCAGTGCCGCCCTCCGTGCTCCGTGCGGGTGGCGGAGGCATCGATCCGCCAGATCCGCCGCCGTCACTGCGGCGGCCCGACCCGCCACCAACCGGCCCGGTGTGACGGACCCATCGGGATGGCGGTCCGTCAGGATCAAGACGAAGGGATGAGGATGGGGGAGATGGAGATGGAGCTGGAAGGGACAGCGCAGTTCCAACGCAGACTCAACACGCACGTACTCCAATCTGTGCAAATGAAGAATGAATCAAAAAACAGACTACAGCTAGGGTATACCCCCAGCGGACTGCCTGACTGGACTGGCCTGGTACTGACAGTGGTATCGGGCAGGACTGGAACATCATACGGCCTGTGGGGTCAGGCCACGGCCTGGTCCCACACGCCGAATTGGCAAATAGCCAAATAGGCCCTGGCTGTAGGCCAGGGCAGATGAAGGCCCGCTGCACGATCCTCAGACCTGTAATGGATCGCAAGAGCCATAAACACGCTATCTGCAAAAGCAGCGGAACTCTGCAATAAAGAAAGCTGAGAAATCTAGGATGCGGAGCAAGCTCCATGCGGAGTCCATGCGATGCATCCTAAGCTACATAATGTCAAAAGAAAAACAAATGTCTGGTATCCATATCCTAGCTAATAGCAAAAAGTGAAATGTAGCAATATACAATCCTAAAGTCCTGGAGGAAATTGTCTAAGTGTTGAAAGGAAAAAGTGCAATATGGCACAAGATAATGTCCTGTCGCTGACCACTAAGGGTGGGATGGTCTCAGAGGGGGTGAACGCAGCCTAAGAATTAAAACTCCTAAGGGCAGTCACACGTGAAGGTGGGATAGGTCATCAGGCTCAAGGTGGGAGAGTGGTAGCGAAACAAAACCAAAGACCCTAACAGATAGACCATCAGGGCGGGAAATGCTCGACAAAAGGATGACACCATGCAGGGTCGACAATGAAAAAAGGGGGAGCCTAGAATAGGGTGGAGATATGCCTAACTTAAGGCATGCAAGGGCCGGCACTAGGGTGATGAGGGCAGTGGGTGAGGGAAACATGCACACAACTCACCGACTGGGGGAGGAAGGAGCTAGATCTGAGAGCAGGGAAGCCAAGATAACGCTACGGTCCCAATGCCTATGCGATACCAAGGGAGAGCCCAACTCAAAGAGACCCAGCTAAGTGAGAACCATCATGCGACAGATGCAAGGGAATGTACAGGGTAGGGTGGTGGCGTGAAGTAGTCACGTCCAAAATAGCTGAAGCCAATGAGGTGGTTGAAGTCGTCGAAGTGGTCGATGACGTCGATGAAGTAGCAGTCGAGTCGATGTCGAAGCAGAGCCACAAAACGCTGACATCGTGAAAAAGTTGATGATGGAGTACCTGATGGTGTGAGTCAGTAGGGGAAAGATAGAGGATAAGGGTGTCAGTCATCGTAACGCGAAGGGTGACGATGAGTGCGCTGTGGACGCTCGGAGGCGACCGTCTGCGGCTGAGGAACGGCCTTAGAGGGAGCGGGCTCGTCCTCAGCAATCTCCTCAGCTGGAGGAGGAGGAAGAGGGTCAGTCGGCTGAGCAGGGGCAGACATCTCAGCACGACGAGCATGATCGTATGCACGCACCAACATCATGGCGTGCTGCAAGTGCTCGAGGGGCTCCCAAGTAGCCTCCTCATCAGGGTAGCCCTTCCAACGCACAAGGTACTTGATGCGTGGAGGGGTATCGTCGGTAACTCGGCGTGATACGATGTCGAAAACAACGAACTCCTCGTGACCGTCCACCATGATAGATGGAGGGTGCTCATAAGGGCATCCGGCGAAGCGCTCGAACGGTCTGCGATAAGGACGCAGCAAGGAGACGTGGTAAACATCGTGTACGTGAGCCTGTCGAAGGTAATCAGGTAGCTTCACACGGAAGCTGACCGGACTAGCAGCAGTATCAGAACCGACGGCCTGAAGGATGCGCCATGGACCGAAGAAACGACGCCTGAACTTGCGAAGCGTATCTACTTCGAGCTGTAAGTGGCGTGCATCGACGAGCACATTGTCACCGACTTTGAATGGATGATCCATTCGTGATCGGTTCGCTCGTGCGGCCATGCGAGTCTGGAGTCGGCTAAACTCTCGTGTGCGCGCTTCATAATCGCCGCCATGTGGGCGATCCAGTCGTCAAGCGCAGGGCAACGAGTGTCTGGGCGCAACCGCGATGGTTGTAGGAAATCCGCGGGTACGCGAGGGTGGTAGCCGAGGTTGCAATAGAATGGCAACATCCCCGTGGCTGGCGAAACAGCGTGGTTGTACGCAATCTCTGCGTGGGCTAAGTGTAAGTCTCACTCCTGGTCATCCCTAACAAACTTTCGGAGGATATCACCGAGAGTTTTATTGGTGACCTAAGTCTGACCATCCGTCTAAGGGTGGTAAGACGATGAGAAGCGGAGCTGGGATCCGTACACCTCATGTAGGCGTCGCCAGAATGTGCTGGTAAAGCGCGGGTCACGGTCGGAGATGATGCTCTGAGGTAAGCCGTGATCTCTCACGACTCGGTTGAAGACGATGTCGGCGACCTCACGAGCGCTAATGCGATAGCGGCACGGGACAAAACGTGCACGCTTCGTGAAGCGATGGACGACGACCAAGATAGCATCATGACCGCGCTCAGTGGGTGGGCGGAGAGGACCAATGAAATCCATCGAGATGGACTGCCAACGACCTTCAGGTATGGGTAGGGGCTGAAGTAACCCATACGGAAGGTGGTTCGCACTGTTCACCTCCTGGCAGGTAGGACACTCCTGGATGTAGGCTTTGACAAAGTCCTTGGACTTCGGCCAGACGTATAGGCGGCAAACACGAGGCAACGTCTTGTGGAAACCTATATGACCGACAACTGCCTGGTCATGAAACTCTACTACAACTTGGACGCGGAGCTGCCCGGTGGAGGGAACGCAGTTACGTGGTTCTAGCTGACCAAATCTACCATGCCAGTACACGAGGCCGTTCTCCCCGATGGAGTAGGAAGGAACGGTCTTGCCACTCCGCAGTGTCGCGTGGATGACGCGATAATCGGGGCAGTGGCGGTACTGAGTGCGATACGCGTCGATCACCGACTGATCAACTGTGGTGATGGAGATGGCAGCAAGCTGCATGGGTTCCTGATTGTGATAAGGACGACGGGACAAGGTATCGGCGACGCGGTTCTTTTCAACCTTAATGGGCTGAGTGGTGAAATTGAACTCGGATAAGTCACGCCACCAGCGTGCCTGTCGAGGGAAAAGCTTAGGCTTTGTGAGGAAAGCCTGGACAACTGAGTTGTCCGTGCGCACCGTGAAGGGCACCCCGTGCAGATAATGACGCCAATGCCGGGTAGCATAAACTACTGCGAGAACCTCACATTCATCGGAAGTGTAGTTTATCTCGGCAGGCAGTAGCTGATGGGAGTAGAAAGCGATCGGGCAATCCCCAGCACGAGCCTCGACAGTCCCATCCTCCGCGATGGTCGGGGAGTAAGTAACAGGAGGACTGTCAGTGGAGGAAAGTGGTGGGAGGGTAGGCGTTAGTCGAGAAGCAGTGTCAGCAGGAGGGGGGGGGGGAGGAGGAACATGGGGGTAAGGTGAATCTGGAGGAGAGGGAAACACCTGAGAAAGGACAGCTCCTATTGCAAAATCTGACGTATCGGTGGTGACGATAAAGGGACGATCAAAATCGGGAAGGCGAAGAACCGGCGCACAGGTCACCGCCTTCTTGAGGGCGCGAAAGGCGTCCTCGCACAGGGGTGTCCAAAACCACAGCGGGTTCTTCCAGAGGAGGGAAGAGGTAAGGACGTAGGAATACCTAGCGTATCCCTGGACAAAATTACTATAGTAGCTGGTGAGGCCTAGGAAACTGCGAAGCTGCTTGGCAGATGTGGGGACGGGCCACTCTGCAATAACAGTGATCTTCGCATCGTCCATGTGGAGACCCTGGTCAGACACATGGTGTCCTAGGAAGTCCACTTTGTGCTGGGCAAAGCGGCACGTACTGAGCTTGGCAAAGAAGCCATGCTTGCGTAAGCGTTGTAGGACATCGCGGAGGTGTCTGAGATGGTCTTCTAAGGTACGACTGTACACCAGGATGTCGTCCAGGTATACGAGAACATATTCTTCAAGGATGTCCCTGAAGATGTCGTTCATCATCGTCTGGAAAGTGGCGGGTGCATTGGTGAGGCCGGATGGCATCACCGTGAACTCGTAGTGGCCGAAGCACGATCGGAAGGCGGTTTTCGGCTGATCCTTTGTGGCAACGCGAATCTGGTGGTAACCGCTACGAAGATCGATCTTCGTGAAGAAGCGGTTGCCTGCCAGACGGTTAAACAGCTCATCCGCGCGGGGCATGGGATAGTTGCCCTTAACGGTTAAGGTCGCGATAGTCGATGCAGAGGTGGAGATTCCGTCCGCTTTGCGAGCAAAGAGGACAAGTGCACCCCAAGGGGAGTTACTGGGTTTAATGAAACCCAGTCGAAGGAGCTCCTCAAGCTGACGCTTAAGTTCCGTCGCCTCTGGGATCGAGAGTCGGTATGGTGCCAGATGGTGAACACGATAGTCAGGCACGAGCTAGATAGAATGCTCAACACCACGCATCGGGGGAATCCCGCTGTATGAGAAATACGGGGGAAAGACGTCGCGGTACTCTCGAATCAGGTCGCGAACAGCCGGCTCTAAGTCTGCCGTGAACCGTGTGAGTTCCTCGGCGTCTGCGTCAGCACGAGACGTATGTGTGGACTCGACAGTCGACGACGCAGGGGCCTGAGACGTGGAGGGGGTATCCGCAGGCTGACAAGTGGATATAGAGATGGGAGCCGCGAAGATGGAAGGAGGGTCAGGGGGATCGGGCTCCAGAGAGATGAGCTCAACCTCGGGACAGAGTGGATCGTAGCGAAGAAGATCCATGACGTTCATTGAGTAGAACGTGACGTCTTCCTGCTGTATGAAGTGAGCAAACTGACGAGGGGAAGTGAGCGCGATGTTGGAGTGGGACCCTGAGGGACGAGGGTCCTGGGGAAGTAGGTCGGGTGGGGTGTCGCCCGTGGTTCCAATGAACGGGATGCAATGGGTCTGACCACACTTCGTTTTGAGAACGAGTGTCTCGGTCGCCCATTCGGCCTTTGTGCTGCGGAACCGGCGGGACCAGGGAGTGCCAAGGATAAAGTCGTACCCAGTTTCCAGCACGTCGAAGTATGAGGAGGAATGGTAGCGCCTAGGCGTCTAGGTACTATCCGATGGCTGGAGGGTGAGGGAGAAGTGGAGGTCGGGGACCGTCTGATCGAAGAAGCACTGCGTCTTGTTATCTCCGAGGGTAACAGAGATAGGAGAGCGAGACCCAAAGGTAGCTAGGCGAGCTTCCTCAACCACTCGAGGGTGAACGAAATCTCCCTGCGAGCCGGAGTCCCATAAAGCGCGATACACCCTTGTAGATGTCCCTAGGCGGATAGGGATAATGGGTAGGGTGCGATCAGGATCAGAGAGCAGAGCGAGAAGACGACGCACGACATTGACGTGCCTCGTGAGTCGCTCCTGACGAGCCTGCAGAATGCTCAAGTCCAGGAGAGATGACACAACGTCATCGCGAGTCGCCAACTGAGTGCTAGAACGGGCTGTGCGAATGGCGCGACGCGTCGGAAGTCTCGAGGGAGAAGCGCTAGATGTGGCTGTCTGCGGGGAGGCAGACAGTACCTCGACAGACGACGGGGCAGAGAGAACTACGTCTGTTGTATCCTGAGGGTCCTCTGGTGGGGTAGCCAAAGGGGCAAACGGCGACTCGGTGGTCGGGAAGCCGGCTACGTGCAAGGCCTCAGGGGTACACTGCACCGTGGCTAGTTGGGTGGGGCTGGCCGGGCGGGGCCGGGGGGGGACTGAGATCGGCGCTGACGAGAAACGTCGGCATAGTACCGATCGAGGGCGGTGTGGTATGGACACCGTGAGGAGGTGTGTCCATCCTGGTGGCAACGAAGGCAGCCTCGTCGGGCCTCGAGGACGGCACGCTCCTTGGGGGATAGAGCTCCGCGAGGAGGGACAAAACCCTGTGGGAGGTCTATCTGAGGAACTATGGGTGTGCGGGCGCCAGCCTGTGCAATTAGACTGCGTGCACGACCCATGGCAGATATGGCCATCTGCAGGCGCTCGACCATTGGGACAGTGTCGTCATCCAAGTGGTACTGGATGACGTCCCGAAGCTCAATGTCCTCGGGGGCGTCCCCAATGGTAGGATCGAGCTCGGCTGAGGCGTCCTCTCCATACTCGAGAGAACTGTAGTGCCGAGCGAATGGCGTTCCAGGTCGATCCGGGCGACGAAAACGACCAGCAAACGAGGAGCGGCCTCGGGTGATACCCCGAGACTGGGAGGTGGGGGCTGGCCGCGAAGAGGATGGGGCGACAGAGAAGCGACTGCACATCCTCTGGTACTGACGCGCAGTCTCGTATGCTTGCTCCGCGGAAGAGAATGATCGCCTCCATAGCTCTAGGCGGTAGTCAGTCGGCAGGCTGACAAGGAACCGGTCGATGAGTGTGACCTCCGGTAGGAACGTCTCGTCACAAACAAGGCGAGCGTCCTGAAACACCCGGATGTGACGCTCCAAGTCGGCCGGTACAGAGGACCCGGACCATCTGGTCTGGGTGACGCGGTCTAAGGCGTCGGTGGCGTTATGACGAGCGTCGAAGCGGTCCTGAAGAGTGGGGACCTCACCCACGCGGAGGCGCTGGGTATAATGATCCTCCCAGGCAGTGGAAGGGCTACCTCGCAATTTGGTTGCGAGCACATCGCACCACAACTCATGACGGGTGGTCGTCATAGAGAGCGTGCGCGTTGCTATCTGCAACCAGCGAGAGACACAGGATATGCCATCATACTCGGGAATGTCCGTGGTGCGCACAAGAGGATGTTCACTGTGCTGATGGCGGGGGGAGAGAGATCGAGGCGAGTGCACTGCGGCAGCGTAAGTCGAGGCCGCTGCAGGGGCAGAGGTGGGGGAAGGCTGTGGGCCGTGGCCGCTGCCGGATGGACCACCAGACGAGGAGGCAACGACCGCGGGCAGCTGTCCCGGAATAGCCAGGTAGGAGGGAAGAGGCTGAGGAGCAGGTCGAGGGAAAGGAGCCTGCATCATGGGGACCGAAGGGGTGGTAGAGGAAGAAGGGTGGGCAGCCTGTGATGGGTGAGGCTGTCTCAGAGCGAGAATCTTCACCTGAGCCTGCGCAATGGTGCCTGTAAAGTGGCCACTCGCAGGGTGCGGGAGGTCGGAGGTGGAGGGGGCGGAGTGGGTCGCCCAGTAGGAGGAGGAATTCCAGTCTGGGCGGCACCCTGCTGTGGGGGTGGGGGGACGAAGGCAGGAAGAAGAGGGCGGAGCCGTAATGCCGCGACCGTTGCGGGAAGCAGGGAAGCAACACCGGGGTAGGTCGATGAAACTGCGTGGCCAGATGGCTGTACCTGGACCGCAGCACCTACGACAATAATGGAGATGGTAGGAGCGACCTTGGTCGGAAGAACTGCCGCAACGGACGGGGTGGTCTGAGCGACAGCAACACTCGCCACCGCTGAGGGGGAGTGTTGGGCCTGGCCCGCAGAGGAGGGGGAACCATGGTGACTCCGTCTCTGGAGTCCTGGGGAGTCGGAATCGGAGCCGGTAGGGGAAGGGTTGTGAGAGCGGTGGAGAGAGCGATGAGGGGAGCCCTTGAGGCGGTTGACGTCGAGGGCTAGCGCATTGATTTGCGCTTGCAACGGTCCAAGCGTACTAAGTTGTGCCTGGATTGCTATAAGGACGGCATGAAGGTCCATCGTGTCCGCATGGGCCTGATCATGAGCCGCTGACGGCGCGTTGACCTGGGGTGTGGAGTGCGCCGCGGCGATCTCCTCGGATGAACTCCCTTCCATGGCCGGAAGGGGAATGGAGGTAGTCCTCAGAGGAGTGTGTGGGGAAAGGGGTCCACCGGTAAGAGGAAGGGGACCGCGGGAGCGGATTGAGTATGTTTGAGTCGGCTCGCCTCGGATTTTGCGGGTCGCACGTGAGACGAAGGCGCCGAACCGCTCGAGGGGGGAGGAGCCGCCCAGGTCCAGGGTGCCCGACGGGAGGAGGCGGGAGAGTAGGAAGGGGGGCGGGAGTTAGGAGAACCCTAAACCCTAGAAAACCCTAAGAAAACCCTAACCGGAGTTTAGGTGGTTAGGGGAGGGTAGCGGCGACCTAATCAAGAAAAAAAATAATATGGAGGGGAGGGGGAAAAAAAATAGAATAAACAATAAAATTTCGAGATAAAAATAAAATAAAAGAAGAAATAAAAATAAATAAAGAAATAAAATGTAAAGAGCGAGGGAGGAGGACTTATTTATTTTTTTGAAAATTTCGGCAGCATTTTCTTACCCCAACGGAGTCAAAATGTGCAAAGAGAAAGGAGAGACTAATAGAAGCACACTAATTTTTACAATGCCGTAAATTAAAATTTTCAGAAAAATAACTAAATAAATAAATAGATAAATAAGGAGGTGGAGGAGAGTGAAGAGAAACTAACCAAGTTTTGGATTTTTCAGAAATTTCGACATCACTTCGTTACTCCCACGGGGTCAAAATGTGTGCCGAAAGCAAGAATGGCTAAGTCCTAATCAGATTTTAGGGTGCCGCAGAAAAATTCGAATTTTTAAAATAAATAAAGAAAAATAAAATAAATTAGAAAGATGAGAAAAGAAGTAGGAAAGAAGCTAATTCGGATTTTTTGAGGAACGAAGAAAATTTAAATAAAAAAGAAAGAGAAAAGAAGAAAAACAGAAAAAATCGAAGTGGGGGGGGGGGGGGGGGATGAAAAGGTGATGAAAAAAAGAAAAAAGTAGGTGGGAAAGAGAAAAGATTGAACTGGTAGGTGAGGGAGATGATGGGGTTGTAGTTGGGGGAAGAAAGGAGGAGAGGAGTTGAGAGAATGAGAGAGAAAGTTATGGAAAAGGTGAAGAAAAGAGTGAGAGATTAATAAAAGAAGGTGAGTGGAGAGAGAGGAGAGAAAAAGATGGTGGGAGATGAGTGAAGAGGGAAGGGTATGAGAGATTAAGGGGAAGGAGAGGAGAGAAGTAGGGAAAATAAGCAAGGAGAGTGAGGTTGGGAGAGGAGAGAGTAAAAATATGGTAGTGGATGGAGAAAGAGTGAAGGGGATGAGAGATTAGTGGGGAGAAGGAGAGAGCAGTGGTAAAAGGTGATGGATGAGTGGTGGTGAGAGAAAAATAAGGTCAGATGATGAAGGGAGGAGAGGGAAAAGGGAGCGGGAGAGTGGATTAGGGATGAGAGAGGTGATACCCAACTTTTAGGTAACCAAAAACATACAACTTCACCAAGATCCACAAGATCTTGGCCTTCACACACCCCTTGGGAGAAGGGGTCTTCAAGGTGGTGATGAACTGCTGCTGCACATTAGCTGGGGTTGGCTGAGATCTTGATCAGCCACCCAGTTCCACTGTAGTGCAGCACCCTAGCTAGGGGGGTCTTCAAAAAAAATCCTCAGCAAACTGCCACGTGGCACTTTTAGAGATGGCCACGGGTCAAGAGAGGAGATGTAGAGGGCAAAAACTATTTTGCCAATAACTTTTCATCCGCTAGGTGAAATTTGGCAAAAGAGGTTCTGTCGGAAAACTTTTTGAAAGCCGCTTCCAACGAGATAAGGCGCAGCATCAGCCAGTGCCTAGAGTAATAGCGCTCGTTGAAAAAATTAGCGCGGGTGGTTGTTTTTTTGAGCTTTTGAAAAAATTGCGATCTTTGAAAGATCATAACTCCTCAACCACCACACAAAATTAAGCGCTCTATCGCTTGTTGGAAGCGGCTCATTGAGAGCTTTCCAACAAGCTAAAGATCAATAAATTTGGACCACCGGTGCAGAAGTTACGATCGAAAGAGTGCACCGGTGTCATTACCAAAGAAAAGTGGCGAGCGTTTTTTTTTTTTTTTTTTACTCAGCCGCGTGGCAACTGATAGGTGGGGTGGGTGGGGGAGAGGAGCAAGGAGGAAAGCCTGCTCTGATACCAG